GCTGTTCCTACAGAGATCGTGCACTCTAATATTGCCTTAAAATGCACAATCACTAACGGCAGTATTTGTCACACTCATTGCTCATTAGCTTAGACTGGAAAATTACTTCAGAATAAATGCTGATATGCCAAAGAAAATATATAAAGCAGTAACATGCAACTAAAAATGATCATCAAGCTCCAGTGTTGCTGGAACTTTTATTTATTTATTTATTTATTTTAAGACTTCTGGCTGATTAAGCTTTTTTAGCATCAATAGCGCTGATACAGAGAATGGGGGAAAAGTAAGGTGGGATGAACCTGATATGGGGACTAACTGAGCAAGAGTTGAGCAGCTTTGGTAGACCTGAGCTTGTCCGGGGTCTCGGTACTGTGTTCTGCAGAGTATAGCACCTTTATTGTTCATGCTTTTCCATTATCTACCGTGTCCAGGCTTCTTGCTCCTCTGGATTACAGAGAGCATTTTGTGTACAGTCCTGCCACTAAATTGGTCTGTTCCCTGAACAGCAGGCTGCAGAAGATAGCAAATAGGAGAAGCCATCCCAGATCAAAGGCTCTTCTTTTCTTCTTTGCCCTCTGGGTGGAGTGAGCACACCTGTGTGTTTAATTTTTGCTTATTATTACTTGCAGAAACTGGGATGAGGGTAGGTGTGAGTTTTGTATACCTACACTATTTAAATATCTGCCCCAAAATTCAGAGCATGCCGAAATCTCTCGGTCTCCTACAGGTCAAGTACTTACCACGAGTGGTGGTTTCTGCAGGATACCACCTATTCTTATTGGTACATTTTTTTTTTTCCCTACAAATTAAGGACAAACATTTCAGAGTATCCTTTGTTTTCATGGCATTAGTACCTGCTTTTATGACAATGCTGTTTGTAAAGATCAGACCCTGCTCAGATACAGAATTCAGTGGTAAGAGAAAACAACAATGCAGAACATAAAGACAGGACAGATTTTTACTAGGTATTACACCACACTAGGGAAAGCATTTAAAACACACATAGACAATGTGTAACACATGTCCTATTAAGCTTTTACAGGGCATTATTCCACTCAAGGGAGGCTTGTGGTGTGAAAAGAGAGAAAAACAACACAGGAGACAGAGAGCAAGACAGATCTTTATAGGGAACTATCCCACACCAGGGAGGCTGCTATTGTGAACAGAGGAAAGAAAAACAAGACAGGAGATAAAGACACAAGATTTTTACTGGCTTTAATGTTTGCCCCTGTGTGATCTAAAGCAAAACCAGGTAGCGCTGGGTGAAGAATGCACACCGAAAATCTCATCCTGAGATCTCATTCTGTTTTCCTCCTTGCTAATTGTGAAGGTTGAGCTTGGCAATTTTTACACCCACAGAAGTTTTTCCATGGATATTTTTGTCTCAATCTCTTGGATAAAATGGCCTGTAGGGCATTAGTGACAGTACTGAGAACAGTGCTTTTTCTAAATTGAGGTTTTTCAAACACTGAAATAGAGCTGTACAAAACAATAAACACCAGTGGGATTTTGATGAAAAAGGGAATTCAAAGAAAACAAAAATAGTTACTGAGTAAGGGTCAAGTTAGGTAAATAATTTCAGACAAAGGAAAGTACAATTTCAAAATGCCACGTTTGTTGTGAACTTAGATGTGAGTTGCAGAATGTGCTTGCCCTCTCAAATACCTCAAAATCAAAAAGTTTATTCTCAGTTTGACAGAAAATATTTTGCTTTGGTCTTAAATGGATTTTCTTGTTTTGTCAGTGAGAAACCTTAAAGCTGCAAATTTACTTTTGAGTCATTCTGAATTACTATTTTTTTAAACTTTGCTTGTTCAGGAACCAAGCGTGCCTTTCTTTGCACACTGACACTAGTAAAGTCTCATTCATTCCTTATGGTGTATGATCCTACGGTTTCCCACACAGGTATTTCATGTCAGTGTTTGATATCTGAGAGGCACGAATTCTCCCCATGTCTGGGCATTTATAAAGTTTCTGTGCATTCCCTGGTGTCTAATAAAGAAATATCACGATGTGGCCCTTCTCAGGAGGACTCATGACATCCCTCTTCTTAACCTGACTGAAATCTGCAGGAAATGTTTTTTTTATTTCATTTATTTTTCTGAGATACCTTTCTGCTATAACAAAACGACAGTCTTTCAACATTTCAACTCATGAAAGCGCCAGCAGGGAAGAGAGCACGTTCCTGTAGCCCTTTTCTCCCAGAAGGAACCAGACAAAGGTTGGTCATTGAGCCAACTTTACATGGTGGCATTACTCATGCCATGTTCTCCAGTGGTCCATCCCATGGTCCGAGGGGGAATGCAGGTATCTTAAGAGTCCTGTCAGGAAAGGAGACCTAAGCCTGTCAAGGAGGGTCACTGGTCCATTGCCACAAACCCCAGGGTGACAAATAGCCTGCCCTGCCTTCCTTGCAGCTGCTGCATCCTCTTTTCTGCATATAGATCTACCTCTAAAACAGGGGTATTTGCTTGATACGTGTCGTGCTGCATGCTAGAAATACATCCTCATTATTGACTAGAAGTTGCAGAGATACTGTTTGGAAGAAGGTGATATAAGCTGTTTTCTACAATTTAGTAGACGACGAATGTTTAATTTGCTTTCCAGGTCATTCTGCAGTATTTAATAGGCTATTGTGTCAATATAAGACTACAATTTAAAACAAAATAACAGAACCGTACCCTTAAGAAATCCAACCAAAAATCAGAGTTTAGTTTTCTGAAAAAGAGGAAGAAAAAAAAAAGCAAGTGTGTGAAAGTCACAAGGGTAGGAAGAGTTGACAATTAAAGTAAGATCAAAAACAAAGGGAGGGGATATAGAAGGTGGCTTTTTCAAAGAAGTTGGACAAAGTCCTCAGCAGTTAAGAAACTAATAGCAATAGGCTAAAGAAATACTAAGGAGGGTGGAAATGAGAAGGAAACCCAGAATGTGGAAAACATTCAGTGGGTGGGGAAGGAACAATTGTTAAGATTTATGTGCTTTGGCTAGCACAAACACTCCACTGTGCAGTTGAAGGTTTCTAAGACTCTTGTGATTCAGTAACTTACTTGCTTTTACTTGATTTTGAGGGAAAAAGCCTCAAATGTCAATAACAGCACCTTGAACAGTCTGGCTGATTACAAGGGCAAGCTGGAATATACTCCACGTAGGTATGAGCCAAGAACTATATTTCAGTATTTATTGTTATCAACATAACATCTTGCCCAAATGTTTATATGCTACTGATCAATAATGTTTCTGTTCAGATAGTGTTAGTCTGTGTATATATATAATCTGTTCTGCTCAAAATGAATCTTGTTTGCCTCCAATTATTGTTTTTTTTTTTTTTTTTTTTTTTTTTTTTCCCTGTGATCCATGCAAGGGTTCCAGGAAAGAAGACATATAATCTTCCTTCTTTCAAACTGGCCAGTAGAGCTCCCTGAAGCAGGCTACTCCTGGGAGGTCATCAACAAAGAGAATATGCCATTGTCCCAGCTAATGAAATCAGGGGAAACCAGGAGCTGCATCTTGCATTATGCCTTGTAAGTGGTACAATTTAAGCTTTGTCAGGATTTTTTCTGGCGTCATTGTCCAAGGGACCACTCCTGACAAAGAGAAGCTTTCCTTAGCCATGCCTGCCACTGCTCAGTGCCCGTGTGAGCACAGTCAGAGCATTCCCACCTGACTCAGAGGTGCCACAGGGCAGACCCTGCCTCTGACACTGGTACGCCCCAGCTGCCGAGTGCTTTAGCTTAAGTTCTGGACTGATACAAAATGAATTGATTGCAGAGCTTTCTCCTAGCTGGCCTGTTACTGACTGCCAAGTGTTAATAGGTGTTTGTCAAATCTTGCCACTGAGTAAATAACTATACTCTTGTGAGTAGACATGTCTGCAGTGGAACTACTCACAAAAGCATCTGCTCTAATTCTCTCATGGCCGTGCTCTGTGAATTATGTTTGTCCATAGGAATGCCAGAGGTACCTGGCAGTCTTGTTTGCCCTCTTCTGTGTACTTTCATCTAGAGACAGAGTGAGAGGCTGTCAGCAGCCTCATGGGGCAGCTGGAGGCAGAGAAAAGACTGCAAAAGTAGTGATGATGAAAACCCCTACAGCTTTCTTCTGCTGGGGCACAAAAACTGCTTTGTGATGGAAAGTGTATCTGTAAGAGCCAGAGAGATGTGTACAAAAACTTTAGCTTTTACATGGCCATATCTTCTGGTGTGTAACTTGTTCCTTCAGGAACTATTACTTTTGTCCTCAAATCCATGTTCTTTGTTCTTAATGCAGCTGGATCAAGTGTCAAAAATATTAGGCATAGGCCTAAGAAATTTGAAGATCACGGCCCTAAGAATCTTATTCTACCAAGAATGATTCTATGTGGTTGTGCAATAATATTTCTGACTTAAGTCAGGATGTGGCTGAATGGTGCCTGATGTCCAGCAACATCTTTTTGGGGCTGCAGCTGGCACACACCAAGTTTTGGTTGCGTGACCCATTCAGTATAACACATGATTAGCTCTGAATCATTGTAAGTTTTGGATCCACTTTGTCCCCTTTAGTGAAGTGTGATACATGTAGCCTTTCAATCAGAATAACTGAAATCAGGGGCATGGGATGTGGAACAGACCATCAGGCTCTAGGCTACACCGTGATGGTGGGTGCATACACTAATTATCTTGTGTGTGGTGGTGGGGCCAGAAGCTGTTCTCTGTACTTCCATGAGCAGAGTAGATTCTGTGTGTACATGTGGTTTTATTTACTAAATTTAAGATTTAGGCTCCCACCTCACTGTGGAGGTGGGAGAGAGAGGAAAAAACTTGTTTAATATTCAAATGCTCTAGGTCTACTTTGCTGTTTGTAGCTTACTTGGTGTTTACACGTTCTCTTCTTGGTGACTACAATCATTTTTCTATTCTGATAGGAAAGCATTTATTCTCCTTGTTTTGTTATTCCATTTTTTTTTTTTTCTTTCTACTTAATGCTGAGCTCACAAGTAAACCTCTCTAAATAGCAAACGAGCACCTGAATGTAACCTGTGTCTTCCCTTCCTTCTCCTGTGGGTTTGGTAGAGAGCAGGTCTGGGTCCCTGTATAGCACCACTTCTCAGTACATCAGCTCAAGTGGAAGATCTGGGAGCTAAAAGCAGGCAGCCATCTAATATTTCTTTTCACTTCCAGATTTTCTGTGCTTTCAAGTATCAATTACAAGGTTTGTGTAAATTATAGGGATGATGAACTTGGAGTAGCTACAGTATGTTTAGAACGTCTGTACAGGGATAATAAGGAGATTGTGAAAATCTGCTCTAGGAAGTCTCAGAGACGTTTCCAGATAATTAATGCAATGTGTGGAAACCTGAAATCAGCACTGTGTTTTTTTTTTTTTTTAATAAACTAGTAATTTAGGAACACATTACGGGAGCACATTAAATTAACCATTATTAGATGAGGAAATGTTAAGATTATTAAGATAATAAAAACCAATTAGTGCAGGCTTTTTGTGTATAATGTGGCTCACATAGAAAACCTATTATATTGGAGGGACTACAAGTATTTGGGAGAATTTCAGGTACAAGCCAGAGCTTAGGAGTCTTGAGCTTTTTGCTGCAGGAATAGTGTGCTTTATGAACAAAGTACTCTTTGAAACACAGTGTTGTGAGGCCAGGATTGAAGAAGTGGTTATCCCAAGAGGATTTCAGCTAGTAGGTAAGAAGTTTGTCCATCAGTTTCATATCCTTTGAGAGTAAGTTGTGGCAGCTTGAAGAAAAATGTTTGTTTATTTGCGCACTTCAGTTGAAAACAATTTCTCTTGTTTGCCCATGTTATTTATATATATATATATATATATATATATCTTTAATGGTTATTGCCCCTGATTTTCTTATTTTCTTCTCTACAAGCAGTAAATTAGAAATGTTTCCATTGTCACTTCCTAGTCAGTGCCCCAATAAAGGAGGACGTGATTCCGTGTAGTCTTTACAGTGACTGATGGAAGCTGTCTTTAATATCAAGGCTGTACCTTTTCATAGCTGTTACCAAGCTTCTCAGGCAGCTTGTGTTCTCATACTGTTTTAATTTTTCTCCTGTGACTGTGGTAAATGATTAGCTTATCATGACTTTGGGCAGAAATTATACAAGGTCAATAATTTCTCCATTATGAATTTATGACACCAAGCACCCTCATAATCCTTGCATCAGATTTGTTTGGCTGTTTCCTGGGCCCTTATCTGAGCCACCACTATTGATTCTTTTTGGTTAGTTTGTTGCTGTGTCCAAACCCATTTTTTCAGATTAGCCTCAAGCTGGAGCCAATTAAGGGGACCTTCATAGCAAGTGTGTTTCCCATCTGGTATTTTATTCAAATGATCTCTCTTCATTTACTAATCCCAAATGCCAGTTCTTCATACGACTAATTCTTGTCCTTCAGAATGACTTCCATCCCTCAAAGCATAGTTATCAAACTGAATTTCACATAGCTTTTCCATATGACAGATCTCTTGGACGTACTGGCCACGATGGTATGGCCTTTACACACCTCCTACTTCAGGAAGAATTAGAAGTAGTTTTTGTTCTGCCATGACCTACAAATATGATAACCCCAGCTTTGCACAGAAATGCATAGTGGCGCATCCTTTTGTCTGTATCAGTTTGTCTGCCTGTTGTTCAGCCGGCTGTATTTCTATAGCACAGCTTACCCAACTTTTGTTTTAAAATGAACACTTTTTTTCAAAGAGGAAACTAAATTCCAGTGTCCGTCTGCTGTGCATTGTCTTTTTTTAAATCTTCCCTGGACTAGAGGTTCTCATTTTGAAATACCCTCTTCAGAAAGACTCTCAAAGTAATTTTTTATTATTGTTATTGTTTTTTATACTATTTTTTCAATATTTCACAATTTTTGTATATGCCAGGGCCACAGGTGCACCAATAGACCTTACTTGTCCTGACTGGCCTCACCTGGGACCTCCATCTACTCCCATCCCTTGTGTATCCAGCAGCCTCATTAAAGCTCACACCTGGGCTTTCAGCTCTGGCCTGAGCTGGAAGAACCGTGTAGGGTGCTGATAGCAGCAGTCTGGCCACCATCGAGGGAAAGAAAGGGAACAGCAGGTTTGGTCCATGGTAAGCCTGGGGATTTTAAGCAATAGCTCAGGAGCTGCAACGGGAACAAATATCATCTGTGATGTAGCTTGGGCCAGGGCTGCAGATCCAGAGCTGAGTTTAAATGATGCTCCTTGATGCGTGGGCAGAAGGTGTGGCAGTGCAGGTCCCAGGTGAGGCTAGCTATGGCAGGCAAGGCATACTGGAGTAACCGGGGAGCTGACTGAAGGCAACTAAAACTCATGTTTGTGGGAGTTTCTGTGGGGTTTTGTGTGCTAAAAATGGTATCTTGCTGTTAGTGCTAAAGGAAATCTAAGTCTGTGTGTCTCTGGGCTCTGGTTTCTGTGGTGCCTGCTTTTTTTTTTCTATTATTTTTTAAATTATTATTTTTTAAAATTTCTTTTTAACCTTCTTGTTTTCAAAAATGATTGTGATACTTCATGAAAATTTTCTTTTATCATGAATTTGGAAGAAAATGATTGGAAAAAACATAAATAAACATTTGTTTTAAATAAAAATTGAACCAAGTGTGCCTGAATATACTAGTCTCATGTCCACCTTTGAGGAAATCAGGTCTGAGCTTTGTTCTTCTAACAAAACCTTAAATGAGGACAAGGCTCTTACTGTTCAGTTTCATTGCTGACATCTCGCAGTGCTCCCTTACGTATCTCTGTATAGAATATCTATGGCAGTCATTAACGTGGGCTCATTACAGCCTGCCATCTGTAGTGGTGACAAAATGAGCTACGTTATTGCCTCAAAATGCTGTGATCTCAGAACAGTTTTGCCCTGCATCTTCCTCAAAGTATGTGTAAAGAAGTCAGGGAAATTAGCACTGCAAGGAACACAAGGTTAATATAAGGAGTTGTGGTTATTCTCATCTCTTCTGAAGTTTTTTTTTTTTTTTTTTTTTTTTTAAATAACTTTAATTTTACTTATTTTTGGCCATGGGTGACGGTTTTTATCGCCGTACTTCTTAATGTGATGCTGTAAGTTGCTCAGGCTTTGAGTGAAGGGTGGGCTACATGTATGTGCCTTTGGGTCAATACCACTCACAAGAGAAAATACATCGTAAGCCCCTGCTCAGACACAAAACAATGCCTTTCTTCAGAAAGGGGGAAGACATGAAAGAAAGCTAGGATAAGGATACAGACAGTTCTGGGCATAAACAGGTAACCTGATCTTGTAAGATTATGGAAGATTAGTGTTCTGTCAAGGAACGGGGAATTCCTTTTGGGAGAATAAAACCAATGGATTAAGCAGAGTGGTACTTGGCTCTGGCTGGGCATGGCAACAGCGTTAAGGTTCTGCTTAACAGGGAAATTATACAAAGACACAGTCTGCACAGTCCGAAGTTTTCTGTGTTTGCTGGCATTGCAAGCCTCAACAAAATCCTGGATATCTCAGAGTTTAAAGCCCCACCAGGCTGGGGGAGTTCCTTGCTCTCTGACACAGTTTTACAAAGATTTTTTGATTTACAAAGAGTTTTAAATCCTTTCTTTTTTTTTTTTTCTTTTCCCAAGCTCAGAAAATTTCACCAGATCTATTGGTGTCCCAACCTTTGAACTCTCTTCCACATTTCTTCCTTTCTTTCCTGGAAAAAGCATACTAGGTTCTCGCTTCTTAGTACAAGTGTACTGGAATTCTTAATTTTTTGAATTTTAGGATACAAATACTCATTTGTTTCCTTTTCCTGTGCTGTCAGGCTTCCCTTTTCTCCAAAATGTCTCACAGTCCTGGTATCACTGCTATTTTTTCCAGAAAACTCTTTTGTGCTTGTCTGCTTCACTGCAGCTTTTACTTTAGACCTGAAAATCTGACAGCTAAGTTCAAAATATAAAATTTTTGATGGTGCTGTGAAAATTATAAAAAAAGGTAAATTAACTTGCTTGAGGTACATAGGAAGGGGTTAAGCTTTATATTGCTACAGTTAGAAATTGGTACATCTCAATATCTGTGCAATGTATCAGTTATTGTCATCGTAAGTGGCCCTACTGCTGCTACTCTTTTATTTATTGTTATTTTTTATTTAAGCCCTCTTAGATTGGTTTTCAAAGCTTTTTCTCAAATAAAATTAAAAGTAAGGTGTAAATTTGCCTTTGGCTGTTATCTGAATACTCTAAACTCCTATGTTTCCAGGTTTCTTTAAAAAGAAGAATTATAAGACCTCATATAAAAACGCAGTTGAGTACTGGTAAAGTCCTTCATAGCTTCACTTACTATGGAGTAACAAGCCATGTGGAACTGAACCAATGTATATACTGAAGTTATAATTGCTTTACTTCCCATGTACCTATCCCACAATTCCTGGAAATCGTTATTGAGTTGTGTGATGGGAAGGTGCATTGACAAGAGATACCAAGTCAATGTGTAGGGGGTTCCTACTCTAGGCTACAGTTGGATCATACCCTACATTAATGGCCTAGACCTCACTGGAGAGCCTGTCAAAATCTGAACGTGGGGGATGCGTTGTATCAATCCGAGGTTGCTGTGGTAATGATTGACTTTTATCCATTATTAATTATGTGAGATATAACTTAGGCTTTAGGAAAGCTTCCGCTAGTTAGTTTACAAGACAGCCAGAGATACCTTTCTTGGAGTGCTTGCTTCTCTCTGTTAGTCATAAGTGATGTTTTCAGCAGATAAAAGAAATTAAAAGGGACACGTAAAGCTACCTCAGAGCTAATTCTGAACCTTTAAAGTAGAGTTTAAAGAGGGGTTTACTTTAAAAATCTTTCTTCCTGCTTACTCTGGCAGGATTATAATGACAAAAGGAGTGTGTTTGTCACTGCAGTTGGTTTTGAGGGCCAAAGGCAAGGATATAACTTGTCTGGTTGTGAGGAAGTACGGCAAACTCATTGGAGTGGTTGGAGCCAAGATGGTTTTCTAAACTTCAGTCCAAGCTAAGTATGGAGTTTCTGCATAATGCTGGCTCTTTGTGCTTCCAACAGAAGTGAGGATACCCTCCAGGCAAACCAGTAACCAGATCCACTGACTTTACTGTAGTCTGGGTGATCTTTGATCGATTATACGCTTTTAAAATCCGTGTCTCTTGATTGCATTGGAATGTGATTAAACCTGTCTCATCTTGAGTCTAAAGGAAACTAATGGCTGAACTGTTACAGGAGGAGTCAGTAGATTTTCAAGACAAACACATGCAACAATGCTGTCAATCTGTCTCCTTCAGTTCTCAGTAGCTTTGAAAATGAATGTTTCCAGCCAAATTTGACAGAGGGATTTAAGTTTGAAAGGTGTTATGTTGTGCATATTGGTGGTTCAGAAGAGGCCAGAGTGTGTGTCCCTCCCTTAAGGGGAACAATTGTAATTTGGCACTTTCTCCATTCCAAAAAGCAGCAGCCAGCTGGCCAGTCATCATGCGTGCAACTTGGGTTTGACAGCAGCAACTGCTAATCAGTCTGGTTTAAAAAGTGCTATGTGATGTCTTCAGCTTATAGCGCTATGTGGCTCTGGGGAATAAGAAGGCAGGAGTGATATAGAGAAGGAATGGGGGAGAGGAGGAGCTGCTAAAGGGTGTAGGACACAAATGGGTAGGAAACTTCCTTTACTTAGTTGTGGTGCCCATAGGATATTTCTTTTTTTTTTTTTTT